AGTATTCGGTAGCCATTTTCAACACGATGTCCAGAGGTCAAATTTTTTTTTTCCAAGATAAAGTATATTACATTAGCTTTAATTTAAGATATATATAAAAATGTCAAACTTTCCGGAACAGTTTCAAAAGTTAAGTTGAAAAAGTTTATTTTTTGTGAAAAAGTTGTCATTTTAAATCCCCCCTTATGGGCGGTTACAGGTTAAATTTATAAAAAAATATACCAAATGATAGGTAAATTGTATAAACACAATTCGAATTGTGTTTATACGATAGTTTAAAATATTTGAAAATTCCGATCACTAATTTTTACTATTGTTAATTGTATAATAATTTATTTTAAGTATGTATTCGTTAATTAAGTGTACTAAATAAAAATTTTAGATAGAACTAATCGAATATTTTTTAAAACTATTCAATAGTTTATGCTAAAAATATACTATTCGGTTGTATAAAAACAATTCGAATAGTTATTCGATAGTTTAAAATATTCGAAAATGCCCATTACTTATAAAATTGTCAAATTAGTTTTTTTCAAATGGGAACATATTTTTTAATTAAATAAATTGTTTGATTTCTTATTTTAATAGTAAATGGAATTTGATTATTAGTATACATATATAATACTCGAGGTATTATAAATACAGAGAACTAATTGTATATTATGACGTCGTTTTCACAGACAAGTAGCGTTAATTGTAAATTATGACTTTATCAATAGATATGCTTTCTGTATTGCCTGTTGGTGTATTATAAACTGACAACAATGTGCCTTACACTATTGAAATAAATGCTGTGTATTTGCTGAATATAACGTCATAAAAAACAATTATCTACCTATATTTGTAATCCCACACTTTTTTTTATATTTTATTTCGAAATATTCTTTACACATTTTTTTTATTCATTTTCTAAAATTTATTAATTTATTTAGTATTATCCTTATGAAAACTAAAATTCCCATTTATTCTCTAGCTATAATTTATCATGGTTGTACATATTACCGCTGATCTTTTCGAAATAATAATTACAACGCCATTCGACCTGCTACTTGTTCTCCTCAGCTCTTTCTTGATTTTGCCAACTGTTGATCACCACAATATAACATTAATAACACCGAATGCATTACCCTGAGGGCCGTTGATTTAAAATAATAAAATAAGTGGTTGTTGGAAATTGAATTAGATCTGTTAATTACACATTATTTTTCAATGGCATAAAACACAACAGTAATTTTAGACCATCGACTATTTAATTTTTTCGATGTTCGATATTCGAAATAGAGAACCGAAAAAGGAAAACCAAAAATGGGCATAAACTTTATGCAGTGTAACCGACAGACGCAAAAAATAATAATACCGATTTTGTACGGTCGTACAACAATTACGTAAGTCCCTACACGCCATCACTACAAGACACTGGAAAAGGTTTGCCACGGAACGTCTGATAAGAGCCAGACATCAACTGACCACGTGACACATTGTCCGACTTGAACAATGTTCATTTGAGTGTGACCTAATTTTAGAAGTATACGCAGACGAAAATTAAATATTAATTATTTTTGTGATACTGTTAATATTTAATTTTACACTTCCGAGTACTTTTTCTTCATTTTTTTTAGGCCAAACCGATGATAGTTTATTCTATTTTTATATTAATATCCATATGACTACAATACATAACATATACTTTATCATATTGCTACAATTATTAAGATTGAAGTGACAAAAAACAAAGGGAACTGTTATTCCTATACCATATTGAACGTTTCAAATAAGTGTGATTCATTATAAGTAGTAGAATCTGAGTCTCATTCATCTTCCTCTTATTTTATTCCCTGTATGTTTATTAATGAACAGACCTAACAAATAAAGCGCTTATCAAATCAAAATATTTTCTTCATGCAAAAATAATTTGAGATCGCTTAGCAAAGACTTGATAAAAAAAATTAACTGTGGAAGTATAATACCTTACTCTATTTCTTAAACTTAGATAATAAATCTGGCAAGATGCTTCCTTGTTATATTTCTTTATTTTCTCCCCTATTTATTGACAATGTATATATTAGAACTTCAAAAGCGTTTATAGCTTTAAGACCCCACAATCACCAATCGAACTATACTAAGACTAATAAGACTTTAAAATAAGGACTGGAGGTAAGGTTTATTTTTATCTGTAGGCAATAATTAACTCTACTACCACTTCCACTATGGTATAATAATGTTAATATCTTTTAAAATACTGGTTCAAAAGTTGCAGTTCAATATTTTCTTAATTAGATCATTTCTTAGTCTGTAATTTATTAGAACATACGTTTCAACTTAAAAAACTTAAGTTGATAAAATTATAAAATGGAAGGAGTTGACAGTTTTTATTTTGGAAATTATGTCATCATTTAACAATTAATCTGTATCAGATATTTTAGAACTTTACCGATTAATGCACTTTTACAATGCACAATATTAATTATATTATTTAAAAAGTAAATGTATATTTAATGATTTGAGTACTTAAGTCGTAGCATTAAATTTCTATTAAAAGTTCAAAATTTCATTATTTTAAAGAAAATAAGACTTAATAATTAATACAAATAATTATGCAACATTTATTGTTTTAATTTCCTATGTATACAAAATAAAAACACTTTACAGATATGAAAAGTCAGTTAAATAAAACAAAACACAAATATGATCTATTACAAAACATAAACGCACCATTCTTTAAAATAAAAACAGCAACCAGTATACCATTAAATAATAATAATAATAATGACATATATACAAATGCAATAAAGGTGGTATTTGCTTTAAGAAAACATTATTAAAAACATACATAAAGTTATATGCTTTTAGTGATAATTATTGGTGAACTTATGTAATAATAAAAATAATAAATAATAATGTGATAGATTTTGTGTAAAATTAAATAAAAAATACTTTAATGAACATAGTTACATGCCAGTGGTAACGTGACAAAATAATGTGATAAAACAAAATACAATACATTTAATATTATAATAGTAAATCATTTTACTCTATAAATTTACAATATTGCTACATAAATGTAGTCAGAAACTTTTATTGCACCTTTTTTTTCTCTCCAAAAATATTGTCCATTATATAAATTATATAATATATATTTTTAAACAAATTTATAATTTACAGCATCACAAATACAAAACATTGTCGAAAAACTAAAATAATATAAAAAAAATTCTAAGTTTTTATTAGCAATATGAAAGGGTAGAAATAATTGAAAACAACTTAGAAATGAGGAAATTGAGAATGAGCACAATTTTTTAAGGGCTGTTAGGGAAAACGTGAGCACTTCTTTTAAGCGATTGTACAAATGAGATCAAAAATTTTTTTAAATACATTCATTGTCAGACATGCGACTCAAGTGGAACGTTTAAAAGTTTGGATAAATAGTTTGGGTCAGCCATACTTCTGGGTCGTATTCCCATTTCTTTGAGGCCACCCACTACACGTGCCCAGCTCAAATCTGGTGAGCTGGTCCTACGCTCTTTGCAGCTATTTTCCAATTCTTCTTTTTCTTTATTGTCCAACCAAGTGATTTTATCAAAATCCTTAGTACCACCAACAGTATGTCTTCTTTTAATACTTCGATCGGCAGTTACACCATTTTTTCGTTTTTGACGAGCTTCTTTATCACGTAATGAACTACATCTTCTAGATAAGCCCTGTTTTCGTTTATTCATATTACTTTCGGTCTTTTCCGTCTTAGTAAGCAAATCGGACCGACGATGCTTAGACGCATCACCGTTTTTTGTCAACATCATAACTTCAAATTTAGTATACTTCTGAGTATACCTTTCATGTTTGTTTAATGATTCACACCGACGTAATTTTACATGATTTCCATATTCAGGGCGGTTTTCTTTTTGCTTCAATGATTCTGAACGGCGAAGTCGCACATTAGAATTTGCATTAAAATCTTGCAAGCACTCAAAATGGTTTGGTATTTCATGTTGTGGAGAAGAATCTTTGACTGTTTCACTAGTTGAGTCTTTTAAGTTTTCAATTTCCTACAAATAAATTTTTTTTTGTAAATTATATTAATAAAATTAATAGATTAAGCTTACATGTTTTTCAGTAATGTGTTGGCTGTGTCTTTCTAATGATCTATGCAAACTAGGATCTCTGTATGGTTGAGCATCTATTGTCTTTTCTTCATCAGACTTACTAGAAATATGTTGGGTTTGGTTGTTATCAACAGATTCTGGAGTGGCTACAGAACTAACAGTGTCATTTGGTACTGAAAGTGACTTCAGTTTTTTGTCAAAGGCTGAAGTCAGACTCACCAATAAATCCCCTCCTAACCATAAAAAACAAATATTATTTTGTGAACCAAGTCTAGAACTAAAAATTTAAAAAAAATTGTACTATAATAATTAAAATGTTAGAATCAATCATCTACGACTTTAGATCAACACACACTGTTAAAACACAATAATCTGCTTAGCATTAACAATATATTTTATTTTAACATATTTTATAAAAACATAATATTTAATTAATTTTTTTACCATTTAATATAAAAACAATAAAATACTAACTATTTTATGTTATCAGAAAGTAATGATCTATTTTTAATAACACAACAAGGAAATAACTACAGAAGAAAGAAATGTAGTGGAAGAGAAGACATTAGAAACCCTTTTCCTAGTGTATTAATAAAGACAAACATATTTGTGTTAAAGACCAAACCTTATCATTTTTAAACTTTCAGATCTTCCAAATCAATTTGTTACATTTGGAGTTTTTACAATAACCTAGTAAAGATAGATTTAAATATTTGCGACAGTACTATCAATTAACTCAACTAAAATAACAAAAGTTTGTAAAATCTAATACTTCAAATAAGTTATCAATGGAAGAAATGATTAAAATTAAAAACATTTAAAAAAAACTTTTATTAGACTTTAGACAAAAAAAAAAAAAATCCATCACAATGGGGACATGACATAGTTGGATCTAGTATAGAATATCTGACAGTGATTAAAATCACTTCAAAAAAAAAACACTTTGATGCAAATCTGTAGATAGTGTTTAATTTAAAAAAATTGGTGGATTATTCCAAAAGCTACATGATCTCCTATTATCTTATCTATGTTTTGATTACAAGTTTTATGATTTATAAGTGTAGTATATGAATAAATAAATAAATAAATAAATATATATATATATATATTATGTATATTAATAATATATAAATATAAATAGTATTTATCTTAAAAAATATATAATGATCCATACATTTTTCAAAAAGTTATGACAGTTTAAAGTAAAAAAAATTGAATAAATGTCAAAAATTAGGGATTTTTAAATTTGTAATTTTTTTTGTAGATTCCCCCATTTACGGAGAACGAGGGAAATTTGTTCAATTTTTGAGGGTAATGTCTTCGACAAGATACAATTTGTGATCTTTTGACGTATCGTTAAAAGAAATCGGTTTGGTGAGAGCTGAGAAAAAGTGGTAAGACACAAAACACATCATAGTAAAATAAATACTTTCTCAGCTTCGCATCAAAGCTAAAATTAGTGAAATATATTTTAAAATATTGAAAAAAATAAGTACAGTTTTATTTTAAACAAATAAATATCAATAAAATTAGTTTAAAAGTAAAACCAAGCAAAATTAGAAAAAAAGACATTGTTAACTTTTTTTAAATGTGTATATAAGAACCTTTCAGGTTGATAGTAGTAATAATGTGGAAATTGATTAAGGGAAGTGCTGAAAACCCATCCTTGTCGTTTGTTATTAAAATGTTGGTGTATGTTACCATTTGCTGTAAATTTCATCAATATATATGAAATTATAAATTAACAGCATAAGTACATCATTACATGATAGAATAAGAATATATCTACAGATTACACTAAAACCTAAATTAATGATTACATATTGATATTGATTATACATTCGTTTAAATGAGTACTTAAGTATTTCTTTTTACATATACTTTTTATTAAAAATAATTAATAATACCTTCATCTGATGCATGACTAGAAGGACGCTCTTTTGACACTCTAGAAACATCATTAACAGAATCTGATGACCAATCATCTGCAGTGTTATTACTTGTTTTTAACCTTTTTTGATTACTCTTTGAATCAATTTCATTCTTTGTTTGATCAAATGAAATTCCATTATTTAATGTTCCCTTAGACACTTTAACCATAACTATTGAAATTATTATTATTAAATGACAGAGTGGATTAGAAAATAGATAATATTTGTATTTACTTGGTGGGTAGTCTTTGGCGAGCAATAAAGCTTGACTTGGTTGTCCAACTGGTTCGTTAACTCCAAAATACTCTCTTCTTCTTTGACCTCTACTAATTTCCCTTTGTAACATTGCTTTGGTTTCTTGTTCAAACTTTCGAATTCTTTCTTGGGTAGTTTCATTCAGGTTAACATAAGATTTAATAGGAGCACCTCCATCAACTACATTAGTAGATGAAATTGAAGAATGATAACTAGTTTGAAGTCGATCAAGGCTATCTTCTGATTCATTGAGACTGGTAGTTGACACAGTTTCTGAACTAGCTTTAGAACTATTTAGCTTCTCTTTATCACTTAATTCCTACGAAAAAAAAAAATAAATAAATAAAGTAAAATACATAAATTATAAAGATTGCTTAAAAAATATAGTACTTGTTTAACATCAGTAGTTGATGATGTGTTATTTAGAGGAACTACAGTATTGGTATTGGAACGAGATTTTCGAGATAAATTAGAGTTCTTACTAGTGGCACGATGCATCTTACGATTAGCTGCAGCTACAATATTGGATACTAAATCTTTAGCTAAGAATGGTGTACTATATTGGTTTCCAGACACTTTGTTAATATTATCTAGAAGGTTTTGATTAGGCGCAGATTGTTCAATTTCTGGAACTTGACCACAATTTTCTGGTATAGATGCTTTTAGATCTGCCACATCACCATTACCATAACACCAATCGGCCTAAAAAGAAGTTTATTCAAAATTTATTTGCTTATTCAATATTTTTGTCATGAAGTTACTATAAATTGTTTTATTTTTTGTTTTGAATTTAATAATTAAAAAAATATAATTTTAAAAATCATGATCTTTTGAAATATCTATTTTATAAAATTTAATTATTTTAATAATTTTAATACACAAAAAAAAATTACCTGTAATATAAGTGATTCCACAATACGACATTGGTGACTCATATCAGTGACCATAGTTACCATATTGTTGTCAGCAGAATGTACAAGTGTAGGACCAAAAACTATGGCTAAATTTCTGGCTTCCATTTTATTTACTCCACTATGTTGAACAACTTTCTTTAGATGCATTAACAAGTACTTAAGTGTTTCAAAATGATGCTCAGGTAATTTGTGAATCTAAAACAAGATAGTTTTAAATCAAATTTATTGATTTTTTGTGCATAATAAGAAAAACTAATAACTTTAACTAACAAGTTCACGTAATTTAACCATGCGTTGAACAGGATCATCAATTTTATCAGCTTCTATGAAATGTGGATACATTTCAGTGGTTAGAAGAGCTTCAGGGAGCCTTCTAAAAAAGGATTTTAACAAACTAGATATGACATTTACATCTGTCCAACGAGGATCACGCTGTAAAAGTTTGAGAGCCATATCAGGAGTTTCCATCCCACCATTGTTAACAGCTTCAGTAAGAGAAGTAATAGCTGCAGTATTGCCAGGAACCCTAAAAAAAAAATACAAATATTTTTAACTATGTAAATAAATAACAGCAAAATTCATAATTATGAATACAAATGTGCATACCTATATATACCAACAATGTCTAATCCTTTATCTTCAACTATTGATGTACATACTTCAACAATTAATGGTACGAACTCAGATTGAGTAGACTAATATAAAACAATAAATTTATTTAGTTTAAAGAAAAAAACATTTTAATTTCAATAACTTACAGGAGGACAAAGTTCGAGGGGGATACCAATTGAGGTGCCAGGTGGTGGAGGCAGTGATGGCATAACTGGAGATACTGGAGAACCTGAACCTTGTTGAATTTTTTTCAACTGTTTAGCCATACGATTCTTCCATGTATTAGTAGACTTTGGAGACTGTGGTTGTATTTGACTTGGACTCCTATCTGGTTTACGGGTTTTTGTGATTGGAGAATCACCAGTGGGTGAACGATTTCTAAATGTTGCTAATTTACGAATTCCCTTTGTGTTACCAGGAGAAACACTTGCACACTAATAGAAATAAATAGTTAATACAAAATTTTTAAAAATCATCTTTTATTCTTACTTCTTCTGCAGAAGGGGCAGATGGTACTTCCAAAGCTTGTTCTTGTAAAGCTTTTAGCCACCGTACCATGGACGAAGTGTCATCGGCTTGTAACAATATTTCAGTGTAACCAACATCCGTGGTATTTGAGTTTAACCGCATAACATGTTTACGTTTAACATAGTCCTGAGCCACCGCTGTGGTGGTCGTCATTAGGTTAATCCGGTCGCAAGACATGTTCACATCTTCTGTTTTGTCTAGTACGGCAGGAGTCTAAAAAAATAAACAATTTTCGTTAAACGAGATTCCGAAGTTAAATAGCTTTTCATATACCCAAGACCCAGTTGACGCCCAACGTTTGAGACGCGGTCGTCTTTTGGAAGCGCGAAGCCATATCGGCATACAAGAATACTTTAAACGGCGGTCTGGAGAATAGCCTAAAGTGTTCATTTAGAGTTTATTTTTGGAAAAATAAAAAGACGGGTTGACATTAGAATGTTTGAACTGTAACTGAAATTAAAATTGACCGCTTGGAGATCACACGTTGTTATAGGGGTATAATAGTCATGGCGCGTGCCCCTATTGTTATGGATTGTTAAACAATGCATAAATTAGGTACGGTAGCTGCAGAAAACCATATGGTCGCAAATGCGTCATGGAAGAGCTTTATGGTAATTAATGCGATGAAAGTAACGGTAATGACATTTTGTTCCATTATTAAGAAGCAATCGCAAAAAGTAAGATCGTGATAGTCGTCGAGCTAGTAAAAGCAAAAAGTATCTTAATGCTAAATTAAATACTGTTCTTTTAATTAAGTAAAAACGTTAATAATGAAAATTTCGCTATGGTAATGTAGACATGTTAAATTTTCCGGGTACTCACTTCAATAGCGGAAATGTTTGGCAACGATTCCCTCTGTTTATCTTTGTACAAGCACAACGTTTGACCGCGCACCACGGCCCACACGGGTTTCCACGACCTGTCACCAGCTTTCTGTATATAAAAAAGAAAACATACACACAATTATTATCAGAGTTATAGACACGTTCGATTATTAAAGACAAATGTAAACGCTATAATAAACAAACAACGACTTTAATTAATATCTAAGTAGCAAACGACATACCTTTCCATCGATCTGAATGATTTTGCACAGTAGCGATCCTTCTTTGACCACACTACAATTGCCTAGATCTTGAAGGCCAGGACAGCTCTTTTTACCGGCGAGTTTACTAAAAAAAATTATGATTTATATTAAACACAATTGCATTATAATGGTAACGATATTTGCTCATTACTAACTTAACATAACACTACAATTTTACACAAAAATCTGATTTATTAAAATGAAATACCATTATTAGCTTTATGTCAAAGTTTTGCGAATACGATCATTTACAATTATTGAAGATCGAATGTTAAACTAATTAATCAAACGTAGGTTATTTTCAGTAAATAAATTTTTTTTTCTAGGTATATACAGTAATATTCATTGATGCTAAAAATCTAATATATTCTTTAAACTTAACACAAAATTGTACACAGTAAAAACTATTACAATTTATCTCTCAAATAGGTGGGACAAAACAAAATATTTACTGGATTCTAAAAACTTATAATAAACAAATGGGCAAATAATTACGATCGTGCAATACTCATAAATTAGAGTATTTTAAATGACTATGAGTCATAATCATTTGAAATAGAATATACGTTTTTTTTATACATTTAACTATTTTATTTCTTCTATACATTATTTGGGGCCTACGCATGCTAAAAACGCGTACGATTTGAGCAGTGGACTTCTTATTTTGTAAATAAAATCAATTATTTATATTATTATTATTTATTATATGTGAAAAGACACAACGCCGAGTTGTACATATGTATATATTATAAATACAACGGGAGATCAAAGGTGTGTTTATAAGAGTGTCGATAAACACGGGTGAAAAGAACGTTATTATTCATGAGCAGATGGAGAGATAACTTATTACTTTTTTTTTTTTTTATTGCATTTAGTCCGTAGTACGTACACGTCAATATAAAAAACATGCGGGGTAACGGGACGGTGGTCGCGTGCTCCGTTATCAGCAGAAGAAATCAACGACCCTAACGACGAGCATTGAGGGTGGTATGTTACACTTTATGAAGGCGCTTTATTGCCGCAGAAAAGCCACGATTGACTTCATAGGACCCGTTGAAACGAGACACGACATTGCGGTGGTTGTGGTAAAGAGAAATAATATAAATAACAATTTTGAGAAGAGTTTGACAAAACCGTATTGGGTTACACAAGAAAAACCAAACGAAATAATATAAGTTCAATCAATCGGATCACACCGGTCGGATTGTTGTTTGTTCGTAACGTTAAAACAAAAGATAATATTTTTTTAATTAATGATGGTGCGCGGGATAAATACGGTGGGCATCGAGTCAATCGTTTAAGTGCGACCAATTGAAATTAATTTTTGAATTCCGTTAGTTGTCACGAATTCAACGGGAGGAGAACGAAGATTCGGTATAATCCGAAGCGAATCCAAGGACCCCAGACAGGGTCGCAGGCGATTATTTTTTTATCAGTAACTACAACTATTACAGCGACTTACGAGAAATCGTAGAACTCAATGTCTGTTGCCGATACGCAGTATTCTTTGCGGCGGCGAAATTTAATTGTTAAAAAACACATGATGTATCCCGAATATTAACATTAGAGCGCACATTGTGTTCGGAATGTCTGTAGATGACTGAGGGAGATGAAAACAAAAAGCGAACTGATTGGGGCGAAAGATGACACTCGAATGGAACACAATAGATCTTGTTCGGACAAGTCTAAATTTAACTCGGTCGCCATCAATTGCAAATGTTTTTTTTTCTCCAACTGGGCTAATCCAGCAATGCGTCAGATCTAAACAAGTTTCGTTAAAAATGCGTTCACTTTTTAGACACACAATATGATATTATTATTAATATACATCTGTATAAACGACGGTTATACAGCGGACTTCGGTCTATAGGCGATAACCATTAAAAAAAGCAACACTGTCTTCGTCTTTTTCATTTCTTTTTTACAACGTACCCACGTGGACGCGACTGCAGTTTAAATGGGCGTCGGAGCAACACGTAATGGTGTTTGGACTGCATCCCATTAGCTTTGGATATTAGTGGAAGCAAACGATAGTCGCGTTTGATTAATGGCCCGTCGGTCGAACAATAGTTTATTTTCGTTTATCAGTAAAATTACACGAAAAATATTATTCAGTAAATCTCTCGGGAGACATTACAATATTAAATTAACAACATGTGTTAGAATTTAAAAACGCGGTCGCAGTTAAATCTAGATTTGTATAAAATACATACACAAAAGCGTCCAAAAAACACATGGACATATTTTTACCTACGCACTATCTATTTTACATTATCTAATAGGACACGGGCACAATACGATAAGTCTCGGACACAACGCAACAACAATAACAATAAAACACTACAACATAATAAAATGCATAAAACACAAAAAAAAAACATAACGAAATAGTATGCTTTGAGACGAACCCACGATCAGAACTTGAGGCCGCATCTTCGAAAAGTCGCCGCAACCTTTGGATCTCTCCCGGAAATAACGGTGCGCGCCATTTTTTTTGCACTCTGCACATCACATACAATTTAAATAAAACAACAAATCCTTACACCAACATAATTAAAGTAATTCACTATCGACTAAATTAAGCGCGAAATATATTATCATAATTATAATAACTACCGTCGCGATTAAATTTAGTAAGTAGCGCATGCAAAACGCGGTTTTCTTCTTTTTTATTTTTGCCAAAAAATTATTCAAAATAAATTATACACGAAAAAAAAAATACCTCATGATTTACGTTTTCTAGCTTCACACCGGCACACATTTCTCTAGGAAACGATCTTATTAAATACTAAAGAGAATAACCTGTTGTATTTAACACCGCTAGGTATAAATTAAAAAAGATGTCCATCGGAAAAACTATCAGCTACTTCATAAATATTTTATCAATATTTAATCAATAATAGTATGGCAATGATATGATAATACAAACAATTGGTGTTTTCGTTAAATTGTAAACACAAATATTGAACTTTGTTTTATTAAGATTGGCCGGACTACTGACGCCTAATGAGGAACAGCAACCAATTATCCGAACCGTCTTGGGTTTATCGGCGATAGAATAATAATAACTGTATTAAGCAAATATCATTGTTTCGCGAATTATTCTATCATTAAGTACACAGAATTATCAAATTTAGTTCCATTGATCATTCTGTATCAGCTGGACAAGAAAATAAAATTGACTTTAGTTTTTTTTTTTCAATTAATTTAACCATTTTAATTCTCATACGTTATTTTTCTCATTGACTACGACACTAACGATAAACACGTTTTAACTAGCAAAGAATAATTTTTTAACTTACTTTTGTTGAGTGACAACGATAGGAGAAGGTTCGGATTCAGACTCGGTGGTAGTCAAGTCGTCGACGCTCATTCGATCGCCCCATGCCGTGGCTTTCAAATAGGATATCCTCCGGGTGGTGCGTTCTTCATCTAATGGCGATTAAAAGAAGAAAAAAACACATTTACAAATTAAAACATGCGAACAGATATAATATAAGCAAAGTGTGGCTTATCCTAAAGCATAGCAGTTAACAGATGAAATTAGATGAGATATATTTCCCCTCACCGTTTATGCCAATCAAATTAGTCCTTAACGTGACGGCGGCAGTGGCTGTTTCGGACGGATTTGGCTGTTCGACGTTATCGTTCAAAGAATCAATTGACACTGCGTTAAAAAAATAACAGGAAAATAGATCCGATTAGGAATGATTATTTCCACACTAATTGTTGAACATGTATAAAAATATATTTTAGCTACTTTTACAAACATAAAGCCAGTTATGTATCTATGGAAACCGAGCGAATAGTTAGATACAACGATATTTACACAAAACAAATTAAAATAAAATATTAAATACTACTAATAAGCGGTAGCAATGACGACGGCAAAATAAGCAATTTTATCTAAAAAATGTCTAACAATTTTTTTCTAGAAACAAAAAGAGATACGACCGTCTGTCGACCAGGTACGTATAGAGTTACTCATTGAACATAGTTACACGAAGTGTTCTCGATATACAAGAATGTACACTTGTCTCTTCTTACCCGCCAAGTCCAAGCTCGGCATATACGATATTGTCGGGTAGATTGCAAATTGTTTTAATTATCGAGTAAAAAACGCCTGAACGTCAGAACAAGGTGTAAATACGACACTATAATACTATAGCAGTGGTAGTTGCACGTTGCTGGTCAAGTCACAACATAAAGGCGTTAAACATCTTGTGATAAATTAAGGTAAGTATAGAGTCCCGTAGAAGAATTTATTTTTAATGATCGCAACATAAACGGGTAAAATTTCACGGGCCAGTAGAAAAATAATAAATTGTTTCGGTAGAACGTGGAAAAAAAAAATAGACAATGAAATCACTAATAAATTATTGTTGCGTTAGATTTGGAAGACAATAGCTCAATGCTCGTATCAAGGCTAAATAAAAGAAAGCTAGTAAAAAAATAATAATAATAAAGTAAACTATGAGCTATCTAGTAAAAGACTAATGGTATAATTGGGCACAGTTTTTTGATATTAACAATTTTAAATAATAAAGACAAGGTTATAATCATAATTAACTCCCAAAGTGACCTACATGCTATGGCACATGCAATTTTTTATTTTTCTTATTAATAAGTAATGTTTACACGGAGGCGCCAATTTACTGTAAAAAGTATTGTTATTTGTAAAGAAGCTTTTCCTGCCACGAGACATTATTTCGAGAGAATGTAGAATAACAGTTGGTTAGTACAGTGCAATGGACTAGAGCATTATGTTTTCATTCGCTTACTGCTCCACTCTAATCAGTATGATTTTTTTTTTTTTTAAAGACATTCTGATATTATGCAATGGTTATTGATTAAATTGATGTTAACATAATTGTGTTATTCTCTGGTCCACTCCCTCTTTCACATTTTTTTTTAGGTGTGTTTTTAAAATCAACAGGCTAACCTTGACTGGAGCCACTGGACTGTAAGGCGAAATTGACCGGCCTATCCTTGGGCAGCTCAAGTCGCGTTGGCCGCACAAAACGTCGGTGGTTTTTCTTTTCCAAGTTGTCGCCATTTTCCGACACTGGCCTCTGGCTGCGTCGCTCTTTAGCGTACACACAAAAAATAACATTTTTCTTTTTTTAATTAATATTTATTTACAATAAATAAACATATATAAATAACTGTTCTAGATTCGAGTCAAACATTTCTCTTTATGCTGGAAACATTAGACCAACCCCCAAAAGAAAAGTCGAACAATAAATAAACGACAAGTAAATTATGCCATCCGTTTATTTTTATCGTTTTGCGAGTTTTTTTTTACCATATTTAACATATTCTGCGATAACTTTCACCGGTCGAATCGAATGTTGGCCGCGAATTGTGTATTTATTTTTGACACAATTGATTCAACGCGAATATATTTGCACGATTGCAGTGTAATAATGCCTAGTCTATGGAAACGGGGTCAAAACCAAATTGGCCGTCGCCCGGGCCGGAAGGGAGACCCCTTTTGTCTGGCGAACAACATCATAATCGCCGCTGTTATCGTTTCCAACGGATGGCCTACACGCACATTAAAAAATTCAAACAGGAGAAAGGTTGACGTATGGCTTGGGAACTCTTCCAAAAAAAAAAAAATTAAGCTTGAGTACCCTTTAAAGACGTTTCAATGCAATTCACAGGCGACACAGTGAACGCAGTTGATTAATTCGAAACGGCGACGGAAATTTATGAGTCGAGAAAAATAAATATCACGAGAAAAAACATTGTGAACGAAAACAAAACGTTTTCTAAACGTGTTGTACTCTGGCCGGTGTGGTAGTAAATGGCTAGTAAATATCGTCGCATAGACAACGAAAATGTGATACATAAAAAACGCACATCAAGACGGGCCGCCGCCGTCGACAGGGTTATTTTTATACGGTCGGAGTGGGCGTCGTCAAGTAGCGGTAGAGTAACAAGAATAATGTCGTGGAAAAATAAAAATAATTAAAATCAAAACGCTTGTCCAACCGGTTGAAAATCAGACCGGAGTTCGACTGGGTCGATAAAGGTTTATACGTCGCCGCAATGGATATCGTGTATTCCTCGGTGTGTTTATTCATTCCGTTTTTACAAGTGGCAAGTATTTTTTGCATTTGCATTTGACGGCCGTGTGAGAATTTCATTATGATTACTACACGGAATTTCATCGGTAGGGTAATGACGAAGCCGTCACTGCTACTAGTATTTATTTCTAACTACAGCTTTATATACACAAATAAAATACACATTCAACTGCAGGCTGCGGTTACGGGGAGAGAAAGACTGCATCGCGATGCACATACTATGATACCACCAAGGCCATAATTATCTACTGTAAACGCTACTGAAACGGAACGAAAAACACTACAATTCGACAGTGTTGTAGGCACATTTTTTTATTTCTAAACAAACTACGCGCTCGAAATAATAATAATTACGGTCGTGATATACACAAACGTATTATTAAATTGATCAACAGTGGAAATAAAAGTACAATAGGCAAACTGCAATCGGATGATCTACGTGAACGCGTAAAACAGCAGTTAATACTAAAGCTAAATGAAAAACGCAGCAACAAATACTATGTAAACAGTACTCGTTTTGTTTTTCGTACAGAGCAAACAAGGTGTAAGGAAAAATTCAAGTAGCCTTCATCGACCACTTGACCAACACACTAACTCAGCACACGCACATGTATTACGATAGTTATATGTACATGTAATTATCACATATAAGGTTTTTCGTTTGTTTACCTATTATAGTGGGTTTTTTACATGCCGCCAGGTACGAATCTTGGCGTACCACCGGTTTGAAGCGGTACGACTCGTCCTTAGAAACCAGCGATTCTTCTAAAAAAAACAAAACAAAAAACAAAAACCCCTAATTGTAGACAAACACTATAAAAACAAGACAAAATAAAAATAAGCGTGAAATAAAAAAATAAAATAGTAAAGCACGTGTAAATCATGATTTTTTAGGAATGTACATGGATTTCGTCTTCGCCCAACGACGTTCAAAGCTCGCACAGACATAAACATGTACCCAAAGACACAACGAAAACGTGCAAGCGCTTACCTTTACTGGACTCGGATTCCTTTGGCGGTTCACAGTGGATCTTAGTGCTACCGATCGGTACGATTAGGTTACCGGAATGGTAAGGGACGATCTCAGTGTCGGCGGCACAAGACTTGTCCGAACCTAATAAACGCGGCAGCAGTTTAGTAAACTTCATACGCGCTGAAACGCAATATAAGACAACTTACTGCAACTGCTGAGCACATCTTCTTTACTGTCATGTTGTTGCTTCTTGTCCGAGCTTAGTTTCTGTTCGTACTCCATTTTTCTCACGGCGACATTAGGAACATTATGTTTAGACGACAGTCTGGCCAATTCGCTGCGATAAAAGTCCGTTTTGTCATCGATCTTTCCGCTTTCGAATTGTTTGGCCCTCATGGACACCACTTGCGAATTGGTCTGTTTCAGATGATCCGCAGCCGCCTCTACTGGTACACTACCGGCAGTGGGCTTCTTTGCATCCTCGCTAATTTTGCCTAGGATATTTACAAACTGCTTGCCCTTGGGTTTGGATGCGGTGGCCGTGACGGGAGACGGCGACGTCGTCGCGACGGCCGTCTTCTCTGGAACAGGACCAGTGCCGGCTGGTACCGACTGCGGGGGAGATTGCTGCAGACTGTTTGGCGGCCATTGAGGCGCCGCAAGCTTCTGAGGCCTCGAATAGAACTCTTTGGCCTGGTGTGTTTGGACGACAGGCCGTCTGAGGAACTCTTCTTTTTGCTCGAGGCTCTTCTTCAACCTGGATATGAGGACGGAATCATCGGGCGCGGTGACCGCAGACGTGGAACTTCCGTGCCCTACATACGGGTGGTGGCTCTCGGCCGTGAGCAGCGCATCGCGACACGCCACGCCAACGTCCATGCTGTGCCGGCCTTTGGGATTAAGCAGAGCGGCCTTGTTACGGTAACTGCCACTGGATTCGGCGGCGGACGATCTGCGGGTACTTGGCGTTCGATGGGGCGAAACAAACCGGGCGGCCGCCGAAGACTTTGACGCGCTTCGGTCCCAGGCGTTCTGGTAAATAGGACTGGAGTCACGACCACGGTGGAAACGTAACTCACTGCCCGATGTCATAGCCGTTTTCAGGCGACCGGGCCTTTGATTTGTCTCCGGATTGTGGGCAGTCTCACTGAAGTACTGTAAGAAAAAATAAACTTAACTTGACACTTGACCAACATTAGTTTTATTGTAGTCACTCACCAACTGTAGGATGTCGTTTTCCATGGGTACCACCAACAAGTGGAGATAACATGGCGTCTGTTGGATAAGTTGCACGACATGAGCGTAAGGTTTGCCAGCTACAGTTTCGCCGTTAACGCTGATTATACGATCGCCGGTGTTGAGACCCGCAACGCAAGCTGGACCGTTTTCTCGTATGTGTTTCACGAAGATTGTGTCCATCGGCTCATCGGGACGGACGCAAGCGCCTCGCCGCAAACCCAAACGTTCGTCTCCGGCCAACACCTGAAGAGCAAATAAAAAGTCATCTGAATATTATACAACAGGCGTATGTGGTCGTACACCTCGAGCGGGTGACTCATCGGTAAGTTACATAACTTAATTGAACGGATAAAAAAGTAACATTCGTACAATGGGCACCACCATTTCTACGACAAGTGATGTGAAAATGAAAACATCGAACTGTTAAAATGTACATTTTTCGTTAGAAAACCACCGCGGTAACGTTTTACTGTGGTTTTTTATTTCCGTCGCAATTACGGAGGGAAATGTGTCGAAACAAAAACATTCACCTTACCAACAATAAAAATAAATCTAGTCGTATAATTATTGACTGACGTAAATATACACACGGACAAAAACGCAACTCCTACACAACAAGTTTGCTGGTAGTTCAGACTCTGGGCAATGAGTTATTTCAACACAAAAATGAAACGCGAATTTCAAGCCCTTTTCACTGCGAAAAACCGCTGTTGTGACCATTTTGCCGGAGTTATTATATCTCAAGTACCCAACTTACCAGTTAATGCGGGTCATTACGGAATAACGGGATAAAAAAATCGTTGCTTAACTGGCAATAAAATTAGAAATTTTCAACTGCACAGTCAATTTTATCACGTTGCATACTGGTCCTAATTCGAGAAAAAGTCATTAAAAACCAATACGCCAACTAATAACAAGTACATTACAATTACCAGACAGACGTATAATAACACACGTTATTACAATATCATTAAATTTTAATTAATATACTTTGGGTTCCGGTAAATTTGACGTTCTAAGAACTTTTACGCTGAAATTCGTGTAATTATAAGTGTACGTTCGGATATATTTTTTTAATGTTAACCGATTCGCAGGATAAACATTTTTTTTTTTTGTTATTGTTTATTATCGAAATGGCGGCGCCGACCACGAAAATCGCGTATATAATTAAGCACGAGAACACACACCCGACAGTAGGTTAAGACAACTGATGTTCTGATTTACTGTGATTTTGCGGTGAAACACACGGCCGGTACACTAAGAATTATCGTTATTTATTCCGAGAAAAAATAATCAAGTTGCAAACAATAGAATGGTTTGAAAATAATAAAAATAATTGCCAAGCGCTAAGAAAAAAACTTTGAATTATTATTATCGTTGTTTAGTAAAACGCAACAGAGTCTGAAACCAAACCAAATTATCTATGAGAACACATTTCTAACACGCGGACGTGATGGACACTCGTATAGACAAAATTCGATTTACTACTCCGAGGGAAAAAGGGCACGGCGCACTGCCAACTCTGCGAATTGAGTACAAGTGTCGGTTTAATTGAAACAACGTCGTCACGGAAGAGAGTTGGCTTGTAACGGCCAGTCCTTAGGACTATAATCGCGGCGGCTTCAATCTGAGAACGGTTCATTCTCAGGTCTTATTTTGGGGCAGGAGGAATGAGATGACGGAAATAGATATTGGAAACCGAAAATAAGCGAGTGCCGAACACCAGCAGGTGACACACGGTTGAAAAAATTTGGTCGAAACGCGCGCGGGATGAGAAAATGCACGTACGTCAATGGCCTTTGCCAAAGTGCTCTATAATCGATAATCTCGTGGTTCGTATGATGGACGACGGCTGATGAACGCACAGCCGTTAGTCCACAACCGATTTGTATTTTTGGCGCAAAACGGCGGGGGGCTTTTATTTGTCTGCGAGACAATTAGGAATTAGTCGAATCTCGCCAATCTGACGGCAGTCCAACGTCGAGGAGAAAAAGAAACAAATAATATTGTCATTGCGCTAATACGAAAAGCCCGTTACCTATTTATATAATGTTCTCTCTCAACTGGCAACTTTGGCGGACCCTGGAGATTTTATTACTTAAAAAACTTGGCACGAATAATTTACTTTATGTGTGTTCTGTTAACCCGCAGGACTATTTTATATTTAAACTTTTTTGCCGTCGCGTCTATTAAAAAACTCGCATTTCAAGTTAAATGTCTATTACTTGTATTTCAATTAAACGCAAATGAAAACTACATTATTATAAACGGTTTCCTCTGCAGGCTGTGTAATAATAATGGATGACACCAGAGTAGACAATCATTCCATACGGACAAGATAGCTACGCTGTTAATTTAATTAATGATTGACTACAGGCACCGCTTAATCGTTCCATTGTTGTCGTCGCGAGATTAAACACAATGGCGAATAGCAACTCGTCTGCAACGTAGACACAAAATACTTGGAAGTGTTAACTTTGAGGAGCGAGTGGTCTCTACTGAGTAGTTGGCAAAATGTCGTGCTGTTACTCGGTTGATATTACACATGACATTATATCGCGTGTCGTCGTCATACTATAACCGGTCATAAATAATACAAATAATAAATGCAATCAAGGCTACCGTGCGACGAGTGACATGAGGACTGATCAGACGTGCCAACGACACACACACGATGTCGTATAAAAAATGTACAGTTGTGCTTTGCTCTCGCACAATGTAGTTTTTTTTTTTACACTCACCAGGTATGACTCGGGCGGGTAAACGATAAAATGCCGCAGCGTGAAACCAAATCCATTTTCCGATCTTCGTACAAAAAGCGATCTGGGACCACTACCCGTTCTCGAGTCTCGGTTTTGGCCCTGCAAAAAACAAACACAAGGATTAATGAAATTGTTGGTTCCGTGTATTAGTTAAAAAATCATGATTCGTATATTATCGAGGTGTACTACACGCGCAGCTAAGTATTATTACTACGAGAGCTTGACACACCGAGTCCTTGAAAAGTCATCTAGATACACTTAGAGTGTAGTACAATGTGGACTCGCGGTAATGTCAAGACGTTCGAACGGGGTCACATCGTGAAGGTTTTAAAGGACGTTAAGAGTACTGACGAAATTTACGAGCTTCGCTTTTATTTTTTTTTTACCGCGACTACTGACGATATTATTATTATCATTTTTTTATTCGCTACAACTCTGATGCATGAGCACGACAGACAACATCAAACACTTTGCTTACGTCAAGAACAGTTATACATTCAATAAAACTTTTTACAAGCCTCAAATGACGATTAACAACATTGTACACGGTCTTTTGCCTAAAGCTACGTAAATCACTCGCTTAAGAGTCGGAGATATCAATCTGAGCTCTTAAGAGTACCTAGGGGACGTCGTTTTTACAGTAAGTGCATCACGTCCATTAATACGTTTACGATTCGTATAACCCGTTTGGGTATTGCAGAAAAATATGACATTAAAAACGTGCAAATGGGCCAGAGATAGATAAATATGCACTTTGCATAAATAAATGGCGTTTGGAGCAAATGGTTAATTTTTTTTTAGCATATATAGTCTTACTTTTAGCTTCGATGCGAAGCTGAGAAGGTATTGGTTTTACTAAGATGTGTTTTTTTTTTTTTTTTT